AGGGCTTTCCTACAGAAAAGATGATGAGTAGTGACTGTGTTTTCGTTAGTGTATTCAATCTGTTAAAGTTGATTAATGGTAAATACTGTGTGCTAGAAATAAGCAACTTGTTAGTATCTATTTTAACAGTGTTTATGCTGGGCTTTTCACTTGCTTTGCTATAAGAAATTTCAATACCGAAACAAGAACCAAGGGGCAAGGATAGGGCAACAAGTTATAGGTAATATAATAAAGACCATTATTTCTGTGAAGGGATGAAGGGCATCTCCTATGAAACTCTGATACTGCAGAGTTTCCAGGAATTAAAACAGGCAATCTGCTGGACTTAGTTTCATTTGTGGCAGAGCAGTGGGATATAAAGTATTTAGAAACCTAATGCATCTCGTACTGGCCTTTGGACAGACTAATTATATGATGGTAAGTAATAACTCAGCTGATCTTTTCCCTCAGAGATCTCAGGGTAAGAATGTGTCATTTTGCTTTCCAAAGCGACCCTTGTGGAAGGCCAAATATTCATCAGATTCAAGAAGAATCCCACTCATAGTTCCTTACTGTGAGTACCACTTGGAAACCCATTAGAAGGTCATTCCTCTTTGGTCAGGCACCAAATTGAAAAAAAAAAAGGGTAAATCGTACCCAGGCTTCTGGGAACAGGCAAGCTGGGATTTTCGAATATCAGAAAAAGGTGAAGTGACCTTGCTACATAGAAGTGGTGTGGGAATCATAAATCTACAGGCAAACTAAAAGAATTGGTAGGATCATTGAGTGTGATTCTTCCTGTAGCTGGTATTCTCAGTGCGTTCCTGTTGAGGGTCAGCACAGCCAGCTCACACTTCCACAGCAGGTGTGCACCTGTGACAGCTCTGAAATGTGCTGTACTTGGGGCTTGTATTTTAACTGCACATGTAAGACCTAAACATACCTTTGGACGAGGCACCAAGGGTCTCAGTGTGGATTTGGCTGCCCAAATTTGGGAATTATGATTATCCTGAATTGCATCCTTGTGATGTAATTACCAGGTTTGATTGTCACTTTGGATATTTAAAAGTGACTGAAAGCTGCCACAAAAGGGAAGTGAAATGTCTTTAATGTGTTTTGGTTTATGGATTTATCTTAAAAAAATAACAACATAAATTGGCATTTTTTAATCAGAAAATAAATGGCTATCACTTAAAAAGAGACACAAAGCAAGAAAGAACACAGATATTTAGCACTGTAACCAAGGGCATGGCTTAACTGTGCACATCAGCTGTATGTTACACTAGGTGTATTTCCTTTTACTCCTTTTTTTCCTGAAAAATATAAGAAATGGAAAGCTACTTCTTCCTCAGTAACACTTCTCTACCTCTTTAAGAGATAATTCAGGATAGATGATCTGCTCCAATGCTCCAAATTGAAATGAATAAATTTCAGTTGAAGGAAATAAATAGGAGAGAAACGTAGAGCTGGGAGTAGGAAGAAAATACAGTAAACAACTTCAGAGCATTCAATGTGCAAATAAAATTTGGCAAGGATGGTGAGAAGAGGAAAGGGGACATGAGAATATTAATGAAAGTTGAAAAGAGCAATTTAGAAAATTTGAGACACAAAAATGACCAGACGAGCCAGAAAAATAGTAAGGAAGCAAGAGAAACATAAAAGCAGTATGCCCGAAAGGTGAGATTTTCAAAGGAAAGATGTGCAATTAGCCAGAGTAATAGATGTTGGGCTATTAGCAGTTTGTTCAGTTTCTTGACATGTCTCTCATCTTTGTCGTGGTGGTTACTTCATCATAGGAAAAAGAGTTTGTTAGAAAGTCTCTGGTTAAAATTGTATTGATTTTGAAACATGTTAAGTTGTCAAAACTTTTTTTTTTTTATTGAAAGGGATACAATCTGACAAAATATTGTTTGGAATTGGGGTAGGGAAGAGGGAAAGAAAGTCTACCACCCATAGCCATATGGTGAGAGCATGCCCTGCTAGCATGTCAGGACCTGACCTGCAGACTGAGAATTTAAAATTGTCTGCCACAAACTGTGTTTCTTAACTGCTGATCTGCTGGTTTTTTTTTTTTTTTGGTTTGTTTTGTTTTTGTTTGTTTGTTTTTTTTTTGTTAATTTGTTGTTTTTTCCTGGGAATGGCCTTTTTGCTTTGTTTTGTGCCATTTTGCCTGTTGCTCAGAACATTTGAAATGTTTGGATTCCCTACTGAATTCCCAGATCTGTGTTAACTTTTTTCTTTTTTGCATGGATGTATTTGGGTCTTCTTGTGTGAGAAAAATTACTACTCCCATTATTTCAGCAGTTGTATATAGGGTGTCATCTGGCTATTTTTATAAGTGTGTATTCTTCACCACAATTTAACTCTAGAGGTATTTTGGTCTGTATGAAAGCCATGAGATACTTCACAAACTGGGCTGGTGTGAAGCACATTTGGCATTGGTAGCTGTGTCTGAAAAACTGTTTTCTTTCTTCTTTAAAGATAGCCTCCTGTTTTCAAGTACATCTTATTTAAAAGTAATTTGTTAGGCCTGTTCTAGTTTTTGCCTCCCCTTAGATATTGAACTCTCCCTGTTTCTCATTATCACTCTTTCTAGTCCCAAGTGTGCATTTCAATTGTTTGGATTTTTTTTTTCCTACAGTTCACTTATTTTTCTGTAGGCAACACCCTTTCTGTAGGCCTTCATTTTGAATTTAGCAAACACTCTAGATTAATTCACTGCATTCCACAGGTGCCTGCAGGACAGGAGACTGTGGAAATGAATGCTCCTCATTATCCCTTTTGTGTGTTTGCCAGCCACTGTCTTTGGTCACAAGCTTTTGGTCTCAGCCTTCTTTTTGTTGTTTGAAAGGACAAGTTACGTGTGTTTGTGTGTATATAGGTGGATACAGACACGTAAACACACAAATATGTATACACATATATTTGTGAATTTAAATCTCTTCCCCAGTAATTCTCAGTTAATAGTCTGCTTAGTTAGTAGTTTGCAGTATTTACTTTTCTGAAGAGTAAATTGAATGCTTTGAACTTGTTTTGCTCTCACTGGAGTTACTAGAAGGGACACATACAAATTTGGCTTGCCATCAAAGCATTACAAAAACCCTTCTAATTACTGTTATGTGTCACCACCTGTGAGGCAGTACCTTGAAGCAGAGTGGGTGTGCCATGCTTTGTTTTAGCTTAAATGCTTTTCATAGGGAAAACACAGAAAGATGTGAGCATGTAAGAACTCCCAATATGGTACAAATACCTGGGAGTGCATGAAGCTTCCCTGTGTCAGACCCATTGTTCCCCAAGAAGAACCATTTGTTTATAATTGGAATAATAAGTATTTTTTGGCAGTCTTCCATCTGAGGTTCATGTGTAAGAAACAAGTGTCAAACCAAATGCAAGTGTTACTTGAAGCCTCAAATTAGATTTGAATATGCAGTTACAGAAGGTTGTTTTGAAATATCCTTTGTTCCAACAGAGTCTTTTAGTCTCAATAGCTAAAGAGCTGAGGGTCAGGGTTTTGCAGACACTGTTTTTCTGTGCATGCAAAAGTATTTTGTATTCAACAGCTGGAATGTTGAGGTGCTACGTTGACATTGCATCAATGAAAATTTGCTTTTTTGGGGGGTGAAAACCACAACTGTGTTGTTGTGAATAATATACAAAATATTGTGTGTTTGATGTTATTTTTCTAGCTCAGCACAGAGCTTCTGTTGGCTGTGTGTGGGAGGCTGTCAGGTGGAGAAACCCTATCAACCTTTGTCCTTTTGAACCAGGTTGCAGAGGTCTTGCATCAAATCCTAATGCTCTTGAGTTGTGTGGTTGAGTAACAAGGTGACATTGTTGCATGGTGGAGTAGATTTACATGAACTGACATATCCAGCTTCAGGGGCATGGTCAGGAATTGGATGCACAGTTTTAAGGAAGTGGATTTTTTCTTATTATCATGCAGGAATCATCCAGGCTTACCCTGCTCTAATCACTTGTATAGTTCTAATATCTTTTATTACTTACTTAGATTCTCCAACTTACTTTTCCCCTGGTTTTAGTATCCCACAGAAAGAAATGGTTTTGTAAGGATTGATCCTATTGAAATTGAGGTAGGGGCAGGAAGAGACAGTTGAGAAAGATAAAAGGCTGATAGACACAAAAGAAAAAGGGAAGTGTATCAGAGGTCCTGAACCATTTCAAGTCTTGCCATGCTCAAATAAGGCCAGCTGCAGTGCAGTTTATAAAGACTCTCACTGAAACTTATAATTAGAGGTTACACAAGGGCAGGTAACATTTCAGAAACAGGTAAGACATCTGACCCAACATGCCTGCTTAGTGAAATGGAGCAGCCTTAGGCTCTCCTGAGATCATTGCTGAGCAACTCCCCAGATTTCGATTAAAGGCCTATCCTTCACTTCTCTGCAGGTCTCTCTTTTAGAAAAGGAATATTTTCTCACTCTTCAAACTTCTAATTTTCTAAAGGTTCCCAAGCTTCTCACATTATTTCAAATGTTTTAAGTACTGGCAAAAAAAAAAAAAAAAAATCACTTCTCCAGCTTGGGGAAAGAAATCCATTCTGCATTTGACCTCTACTTGTTGTTCTGCTGATTAGTATTCTAGTTCTCACAGCATGCTCTCTCAGTGACAGCACTTACCCCCATCTCAGCTGATCAAATTTAGCTGCATGTTTTTCCTTTACTCTTTTTGACAGCTGCTGTAGAGGCTTTACAATTGGGGGCATTGAACTCACCTGCCACCATATTGCTTTCCTTTATTATTTTAAATTTGTTTTAAATCAGATACTAGAATACTTGATGGGCCTGAGATCTGAGAGTGCTGTGTACAAATTTGAATTTAGCATCATGATCCCGTGTTGTTGTGGGGTAAACTAAATGGCCCATCTGCCTAAGATGATATGGCACATCTCCTGCAGAAAAAAAAAAAAAAAATTCCTAATTTAATTTAAGCTGATTGAAACAGATAAAAATGTCCTTTTCACTCACTTGTGATCTTTTTATTCTTTCAATCTTTTTGGATAGCTTGTGACCCGTTGGACCAGCTGCTTTGCCTGCTCTCACCACCTTTTCTTTTCCACATGAATGAAACTCTGAATTCCTTCAGCATGGGGAGGAGAGGGAGAAGGCGGCAGTCTCATCTGGGGATGACGTTTTGGGAGCAGGCTGCTCCACTCCTCTCCAAAGGAAGAGTTCCTAGAACTCTCTCTTCCAGAGGTTTCTATGTGCCTCAGAGCTCAGACTTGCACTGCTACCCAGAACATGTATCCATGTTTAATTCTGTGGCATGTTTGTTTTTCTGAAAAAAAAAAAAATCAAAATGACAATTCTATATTGACCTGATTTGATTAACTTAAGAGAAATGCTACCATTTAACTTAATGAGTTCTGTGTTAAAATTAGGTTTACTGCAGTTACCTTCATTATTCCTACACAATAATATTTCAATTTTGTGGTCTTCTTCTGCCTTTTCCTTCCTTCACAAAACTGCAGTATTCAATTATTTAGTTTTGTTTAAGTTTTGTTTGTTTTGTTTTCTTTTGTTTTGCTAGGTTTGTGAACCAGGAAATAACAGATATGAATTTATACAGTTTCCCTTTCCAGAGGTGCCATCCAGGGCTGTATAATTGCTACTGTGGGGGCAGGCTGAGGTTGTGCCTGCCCTTCAGTAACAGTGCAGCATTTCTCTGTGCATATTTAAATTTACTCATTTTCTGGGAAATATCTTATTTCCCTACCATCTGATGGTCCCAATATAAAATTAATTTTATGCAGTTTGTGTGATAGACCCAGAAATATGCATCTGAATAATCTAGCTGCTTTTTAATATGTAAACATTTCATTATTAAAATTATTAAAGTAATGTTATAGGATTTATTAAAACTTATTAAAGTAATTTTATAGGAAAAATATAGGGGTAACAATAAGGACTGGGAATTTGGAAGTGCTTAACTGAAAATGGATGCAGAATGTCTGAATTAGCACAGGAGGTAATTTGCTTCTTGTTGTATTTTCTGGATTTATTCTGGTTTAAATTGACACTTTGTAATTTTTAAACCACCATTTGATGAGTTTTTTGAAAAATACAGCTGTGGATTTTAGAGAAATTCTACCTATTGTGTCAAAACATATTGATGTTTGATACATTGTACGACCTTGGACTAAAATTTTATTTGATTTCTCTTTCATGATTTTCATATTATGTTTCACATTTACACAGATTCTGCAGCCTGTGAAAGGTGATATTTTCCTAGTAGATGGCCACTTCTTTGAACCTATCTCTAGACGAATTTCTTATTTCTCTCACCCAGGATAAATTGAGTCCTGTTTTTCTTTTATGCTTGTTATAAAATTCTAGAACATTAACTCATCTTCTTAAATCTACATTAACTCAAAAAAAATTGGGAAAAAGCTGGGAAAATTCTGCCACAGGTTTGCTAAATGTTGTGATTTAACTCTCAGGATAAAATTGATTTCAGATGTCAAGGCTGATCCACATAGCATATTGTTATAAGCAATAATAGAGGTAAATATTTTTAAGCATTATAACTAAGTAATTATGGACTCTTTATAAAAAAACAGACCTTGTATCCTCATCATAAAAATATGTGCTCATACTCTGGCCAGTGTAGAAATAACCATTTACCATAGTCATCCTTGCACTCATGTTCATTCTCTGCTAGGAATTTTTACTCTAGTAGAGTCAGAAATTTTGTGATTTGGCTGGAATTTCCAGCTACATGTCAGGGCTACAGCCACTGACAGAAATCCCAGTACACCAACTGAATGTACGCAGGGAGGTTTCATGATGTTCTTCTAATGAGCTTGTAATTCTGCTTTGTTTAATGGATTTGTACTTCTGCTTGGTGTCAGATCTGTTCTGTGTGAAAGATCTTCCATCTGTCTTAGAGAACTCAGACCTGCAGTGTTACTCAGATCATGTATCCATGTTTAATTCTGTGACATACAAGAGAAAAAACATGATAATTCTATATTGACCTGAGCTGCTTAACTTTGAGAGAAATGGAAATTCAGCTTATAAGGTAAAGATATACTGAAGATTGAATCCAGTCTTCCAATGGTTGAAGTGTTACATGAAATGCTGAGGTATTTTGCTATTTTGCCATTGCTCTTTGAAACAGATATCTTGTTCCAGGATGCTGTATATTTCAGTGACTGATTCAACAAAGTTACTGTGAAATGAGTATATAATTATTCACACCCCTACTAAGAGTCTAAGAGTGGGATGAGTCTTTGACAGCCTGTTTCTTTTTTTTTAATCATGTGACAATAGCTAATTATTTCTCATGTAATCTACTTGTAGTCTAAATTTAGGAATTTTTTCTCAAGCCAGCTGTTCTCAGTAAAATTGAGAACTAGAGCTGATATACCGGCTTAGTGAACAAGAGTAAAGAATTCCCAAATGCTAAATTTTATAGTGTTTGAAAATAAAATTTAATTCCCAAGGTGTTCAGCCTTGCTCAGAAATAAGAGTAGTAAAACATCTGTAGAGCAGAATGGCAAAAGTCAAAATCTAAGGTAAAATAATTTATCAAAGAAAGACAATCAGAGTTAATTTTTGGAAATTTTTCTCTAGAAGAAGATTACTTAGATTGAAAAAACCAGTATTTTTACTTATTATGGAAACAATAATCACTGAAGCTGATTATTCTTTAAAGATAATGTGGATCTTGTCATTGAAATTATTCAGAGCACTGATGAAATTTGTTTTTATGCCTACATGGCTTTATGTTGTTTACTTTTCTTGGCAACAATAGAATATGAACATATGTGGAGTATAGTACATACACAATTGAGTTTATTTTAAACGACAGACTCTGTACAACATTTAATATGTTAAATGGATATGTAAGCAGTGACAACTTTATTGTCTAGAGACCCTGTAGCATGCATGGCTATAATAGAAAATCCTAATCAAGAATTTTTCACTAGGTTTGCTACTATCAGTTAATTATCAAGTCAGATTTGAGCAAGGGAGGAGCCCCAGCTGCTCAGGAAGTGTTGTACACCAGTTCCAGCTCCTTGTGACAGTTTGTGACTAATAGGGCAGGAGACCATGCTCAGGTTCTCAAACCACAGGTGTGCTGCTGGGAGCAGAAACTGGAATGGTGAGACTCCTGCAGAGCCAGTCTTGTGTAATGAGCTTGCAAATGGCCGTACTTCAGCTAAAAGTGTTGCTTTGTTTTTTAAAACACCCTTTGCACTGTTTGAATAAGGGACATAGGATTAGTGAACAGACTTCACACCATATTCTGAAGAAAGGGAAAATGAACACCTGCGGAAGCTTAGGAAGAGTCTTACCCCTCCACAATTATGCAACAAAGAGAGAGGGGCAGAGTACCAAAACCTCTTTCCTAGAAATATGCACTGTTGTGAGGTGCATTTATTTTATTTATGTATTTATTTTTAATTAGACCAGTTCTACAGAGGTCTAAATACCTGGGTAGGCTGTTCTGATGCCCGGTATTTTGAGTCTTGAATTTGTTTATTAAGCAGAGAAATTGAAATTAAAAAGTATTTGTTGGCCTATTTTCAAAGGAATTTTACTTAAAAATAAGGAACCTGTCATTAATACCTTAGCAAACGTAAAGAATGTGAAGAATACATTCTTGAGTTTTTCTTCTCTTCTAAATCTGTTTCATAGTCCTATTTCCCTTTCAACCACAAAACCCACACAAAATAAACCATAAACTATGCATTATTACATAGTTTTAACTGACTGTTCAGCATCCGGTACTTCACAATGATTTTCTTTTGCCTACTGACAATAACACTGCAACCAGGAAAAGCTCTGTCACTGCAAGTAATTTTTAATCCCGTAGTGATAATAAAGAGATGTTGAGATAACTGTAATCTATACAGCTGAATTACCTGATATATTGAGTTCACCTCTCTTGTCAGTGCTACTTACCAGTGCAATTGATATTAGAGATGTGGACTGTACAGACAAGGGCATGAAGGATACAGATATATATTGGAAAGAACTTGGGGTAGTAACTGCAGATAATCTGCAGGAAAACAAAGAATCATCAGGAGTGGGTGTGCATGTGGTCATGATCCTATTCTTGTGTACTCATGATATATCCTATAATAATAGCATACAATGCTGTAAGACACTCTTAATCCCTTTTTAGGCTATATGGAGTCATGCTGCTTTGTGTTGAGAGTGTGGATCTAGCACTAAACATGGTTGGCCTGCTCTACCACATTCCTCCAAAGCAGTAGTTAATGATGTGTGTTCTCCTATGTTTGTTTGTGGTTTGTGTGTTTTTACTCTGTTGGTCTGTTTCTAGCTGAGTGCAGCCAGTCTAGAGTTACTGGTTGAAATGGTGAAATATATTAAAGAAAAAGAGAATTTAATTTAATTTTCTTTTAAAGCCATACCACTAAATGAAAGCTGTCTTCTAGCTCAATACTGCACTTCAAACACAAGTTTAACATTGTCCTGCATGGATTTTATCTCTCAGTTTTAGATGACTACACAGGAGGTGTCTGCACTTGAACTGACCCTGATATCCCTTACCATCCACGTGATATGTCAATAGGCCCATGCTCAGATACGGGCTCAGGGCAGGCACTGGTGCACAGCTGTGAGCTCCACCTTAGCAGCAGCCTGAGCACCTTCCTGCACCCTTCTGAGGAGGCAGCAATGCCCTTGCCTGGCAGCACTGCCAGATGCCTGTAGAAAGGCAGAGCGGGTTCCCTGGTGTTGCCTTTGTACTGCAAGGACATTGTGCACCGTGCTGCAGGCAACCTGTATCTTAACTTTGTGTTCAGGCAGAGTCACTGTAGAAAAAATGCTGGGTGCTGACTATTAAATATACAGTATAAATATTAAATTTGAGTCTAGCTTGCAAAATTCCCCTTCCTGTGTCTTGTCTGACTAAATGTGAAATCTGTCAGTGAAATCCAGGAGATCATAAATTATGCTTCCTGATCACAGCACTGAAAGGTCACTGACTTCATCACCCTTCCAGCATCAACTTTTATTTTGGCAGTTGTGGAGGGTCTATTGTTCATTATTATATCTTTACTCCACTGAACAGAATCCTTCTGTTGTAGCACCAAACAGTCTGCAAGCTGTCTATCACCAAGTGGCCATGACATAATGAAGATCTGTTTTATTTTCTTTCCTGCTTCAGTTTGTAGAATAAGTAAATTTCTGTCTGTGAAGCATAAAATACTGAAAAAACAACCTTCCTTAACTGCTGTTAGAATACTGGGGAATGTGTTCCCTTAATTTACCTACTTAATTTTGGCTGGAAAAAAATAGGATTTTTTTTTTAATTGGATATTCATTCTTTCTCTCATATGTTTCTAGAAGTTTATAATGAGATCTTGGAAACACAGAATAAATGCAATTATAGATTTGGGGTTTTTTTTCTTTTGGTTTTGTGGTTTTTTTATTTTTTTATTTTTTTATTTTTTTATTTTTTTTTTCTTTGTGGGTTTTTTTGCCCTTCTATTACTATCTGAAGTTCAGAAGCTTGTGAAAGGGGATTTTCCCTCCCCCCTGATTTTCTTTATCTCTGCAGTGCAAGAATTCAAGCTCCTTCCTCTCCTCTCTTGCTTTAAAAGATTTTGTTACTATGGTGAGGACACCATGTAACATTAGAACTTCAGACTAAATATAGCTATTTTCATAATTCATTTTAAATATTGCACCAATAATTTGCTAGAGTAATTCATATTACAGGACTTAAAATCTGTTTCCCCCAAATATATTCACATATATGTGTGTACCAAACATCCTGGGAGCTCAGGAAGGCAAACGAACCCTGGCTTTAAACCAGGATCCATTTCTGAATCCAGAACTACTCAGGTCTAAAATAGCATCTTTTCACATTCCAGAAATGATATGGTAAATGTAAGGAGGGGAGAGATGTTTCTAGGCTTTCACAATTTATTAATTTTAGTCACTTTTTCTTTTCATAATGGGTTTATATGAATAACCAGCATGACTTACTGGAGCAGATTATATTTAAAACAAAAGCTTGAAGTGGAAAATAGTGGTATTACATATTGAAAAACCCTAGTAAATTTTAAAGAAATAGTGGTACTTTATCAGAAGACAGTGCTGAATTGTAAATCATCACAGCCTGAG